CCCCTTTTGCCCTCGCAGGAAAAAGTTTGGGGACCCCTGGCCTAAACCTTACCTTTACCCTTTTCCTAACCCTAACCAACCAAAACTCAATTCATACCTTAGCCCTAAATCTGACCCCTGACCCAAAAACAGGGTTTCCCCTTGTGGGGACCAGGCTCCGGTCCCCACGAGGAGCAATTGGTCCCCACAACGTAGTATATGTCAGGAAAATCGTCCCCACAAGGTATTACAAACAAACGCACGCACACACACACACACACACACACACACACACACTCCCTGTCTGTCCTGACATTGTCTCCCCTGCCAACATCTACAGTAACTCTCTGAAGAATCTGAATTAATGTGAGTTACAGCAACATTTAATTTCCCTTTGGGATCAACAAAGTATTCCTGAATTTGAAGGACATGACAGGGTTTCACCACACGAGTCACACGACTATTGAATCCAGTACTTTAACTTTAAAAGGTCAAAACCAGAGTTCCCAGTAGAGAAAGCGCCACATTAACTGGTGTTCAAAAACAAACTGGTGATTCTTTGATTCGCCGCTTTCAGTGCCTTGCAAAACTATTCACACCTCCTGATCCTCATCTGTTCCTCACATCCACAAACCTCAGTGTTTCATTAGGATTTCATTAAACACACTGTAAAAACTAAATATTACCAAGTATCTTTGGTTTAGTTTCTACAGTAAGTATTTTATTACACTTGAAATAAGACAAAACCAACTTTCAAGTAACTTTTCAGAAAGACATAAGAGCTTGTTTTTTAAGTCAATAATTTCTCAATATTAATAAAAAAATTGTCCAGTTCCATCGGCAGATTATTTTACTTATAACAAAATTTTATTCCCATGTTATAAGTGAAATAATTTACCAGTGGAAGTAGAAGTTTTTAAACATATTAAGGAATTATTGACTTAAAACAAGATAATATATCCAACTTGTAAGTTAGTGCATTTAAAAGAAGACAAAACTGAGATATTTGCTGTGGAAACTAAAATACTTGGTCTGATTTAGAGTATGTGCAGTGTAAGCTGGTGTTTAATGAAGCGGAAGACAAGTGGAAGATCTGAAAAGTGTGGCATGCATCTGTCTTCACCCTCTTCCAGGGTTGTTTAGCTTCGGCCATTAACTCTGATCAGCTGTAGAAAATGACCCCACAGCATGATGCTGCCACCACCGTCTGCTTACAGATTACTTCATAAGCTAACTGACTACTGGAAAACGTAGCTAACGGATTTGGGAATGGATTCAATTTAGGGGAGATAAATGCCAGACTTAACTTTACTATCATCCATTTATCAGTGAATCGTTTCCAGTCTTCAGGCTGGGTTCGGACACTTGTACATAGATACTAAAAGCTTTCTATCAACCCAGAGTACCTGAAATATTTACACTCACTGATGGACTAGAGACCCATAAAAGCCATTAAAACCCAGAGTATAACAGTTCATAGGTTACTGGTGCCTTTCATTAGATCTAACCTTCAGTTTTCTTACTTTTTACAAAATCAGGGGCTACAAACCTTTCAGCCAGAAGCCTTAACTCACTGCCAACCTCACCTGTTGTTTTTGTCTGCTGGGGGGAATTTATTTACATTTTCAATGTAAACACGTGTTTAACTTTTATATTAACCTGTGAAATATAACATGCATCCCTGTTTGCTCGACTGTTGGTAGTTTATGCATCCCGTAGGTTTAGCTGTAATTTAATACACAGATCAGCCCTTGCATTATGACCGCCTTCCTAAAGTAGCAGCTTCCATTTTTCACCAGGATGCTTTAGTGGATTGATAAAACATCCATCTGAACTGAAGTGGTTTTCCTTTCATTGGGTGTGAATCCTGGGGGAAGTTAGGCCACCAAATGTTGGTGGATCAGAATCGATCATTGCGAGTTTGGTGCCAAACGTATGGCAACGGCATGATGTCTGACTTCGCCTTGCTACCATGGCAACGCCCTCCAGTGAAAACTATTTGAGCTTTAAAGCCAGGGAGACCAGCTTGTTATCTGTCCTCTGACACAAGATCATGTTGATTAGAGCAAGAGGGTCAGAGATGAAGCTTTCCCAGAAAAACGGTGACTTCCTGTTGTGAGGGGGCGGGGCTTAGATGATGCAGCATTTGACCACATCAGATTATTGGACAACAGAGAC